AGCAACAACAACAAGAACAACAACAACCACAACAACCACACCATCAACACCAACAACACCAACAACAACAACAACAACAACAACAACAACAACAACAACAACAACAACAACAACACAATGCTCATCGTTTTTGGCCTCTCGGGGCCTTTGCCGGGCCTCGGGGCCGACAAGAAAACAGTTCGGGGGAAAAAAACATGCCAGGAAAGTGGTCGATGGGTCGGGGGCCCCTGTCCCGACGAAAACGGATACGCCAGATGCCTGGGCCCACGGAGGCCGAACCCGAGGAAGTCGGCTCGCCGGAGGTCCCGCGGAGGTCCCGCCAGAGATCGCGACCTCCTCCCAGGCTTGCGCGAAGGAGCAGCTCGGAGCCCACCATCAGCCCATAGTCTGGAACATCGGCCCCGAGCACCACGATCTACATCTGGGAGAACGCGCTTCGTGGACGCTCGCCTGGAAAAAAAAGAAGCACACTGACGAGCTGGAACCAGTTCGAACACCCCCCACCCACCCTCCCGTCTCAGGCCGCCCCCGCCCCCCCCCCCAGCTCGAACATCCCAGCCCCTTCCCAGAGATCCGATGTCGTGATTTGTTCAATACGGGGTCCCCGGAAATCTCGACACATTCCCCAGGACAGGCTTTTCATCCCGAGCCGTTTTTTGACGGTCCCGGGGCCCGGCGAGGGCCCCCAGAGGCCAGGAACTGCGAAGAACCTCCGTCTTGCCTTTTTCAACACGCTGGACCTCTGGGTCCCAATCGTCCCCCGAGCGCGCTCTTCCCTGCACATGGGCCCCGAGGGGCGCGCCGGCCCAGAAGCCCAGCGACCGCACGCGCTCCATGCGGGGCCCCCCCGCGGCGCTGGGCGGCCCGCCCCCGCTGCGGAGGGGCGCGCGCGGGCCCCTCGGCGCGGGCGCCCGTTCGTCCAGCAACAGCTCCTGATGCTTCGAAACGCGGACGCATGCGGACGATTTCGCGCAGCACATGCACATCATCAAGCGTAGGTTGCGTCTCCAGCACTGCATTTACCTCAGCTGCCAGCCCAGCCTTGCAGCCGCGGCAAAGCAGCGGGTTGCCCTTAGCCCCCGAAGGAGGATTGGTTTGGGAATGCGCGTTTCCTTATTTCAGGCCCTCGCGCCTCTGTATCTGCGCCGATGTCACCTCCAGCGGCTGCCCGTACATGTCCTCAAGTGCCGTGCGTGCAGTGCCAAGGCCGAAAGCTCACAGCCAAAACTGTGCGGAGCTTGCACAGCCTGCACAGGCGGCATCCTTCCCAACTCGTAAGCTGGGGGGCATCACGCCACTATGGGTTGAGCCGTAGGACATGGTCCTGATTGACCTTGATCGCATGGTGACATGGTAGGTCCATGTGCCAATCTTCCCGCGCATATTCTGAAGGTTCCCATCCCTCGGGGACCAGACCGCGAGCTCCCAGCAGGATTTAGTAGCTCAGGTCTGACAGCGCCTGCACATGGGTGCGAAGGTCGGTCAAGCCGGTGAAAGATACACCTGCCTATATTCCAAGCTGTTCTTGTGCCGTTTGGATTACTTGCCGGTCTGGTTGACTCAAGGCAAGGAGCGTTTCTGGAATGTCCCCGATGACAAACGCGCTTCCGTGTGGCAGTCCACAATGTGTGGTTCGCGAACCACTATCCACCCAGAAAATCCGCCCCACTCCCAATGATGCCCATTTACCCCCGCCAGGGTCGCGTCTGGTAATTTGCTGCGCCAGGTCAATGGGTGTGACGTTCCTGTGCCGTGTGCATGCCGGCACAGCGGGGACGATGATTGCGGAGAGGTGCCTCTTGGTGCCCCAGGGAGGTGATGACCCGTCCACCGACCCCCGCATGTGCGAGCTTGTGCTCGATGATTTCGTGTGGCGCCGTCGAGACTAGACCCCTGGGTCTTCGGGGGCGGCAACTTCCGACTCAAAAGCATCGAAACTTGTTTTGGCTCAGGGTTCGTGAACGCGCTTGCTTGGTTGTTGGGTTGTCTGCCCGTGGGGTGTGCATGCTCCGCACCTCCTGCAGAACATCCTCCCCGGGCCAGAGCACAGCACTCGGACCACTCGGAGGGCGTGGGTTTTGTTTGGACACGGGTTAGCGTCAAGCCCTGACTCCAATGAAATGACACACCGCAGTGCGCGACAAGGAGGACCAAACCAGGGCTGAGAAACGAGCGAGGCGAGGGCCAGCGCGCCTCTCTGTCAGATGTGCGGCATGCGCGAAGTGTTGGGAATACCTAGAGAAAGGAGAACAGGCATATGTATGAACGGTCGCCGAGGGTGCGCGCGCCCACGGAAACCAGCCGTGAGGTAGCCTTTTGGGCGTGGAGCAAACCCAAATCTCTGGCGACGTGGTGCATTCCATCTCTTGAGAAGAGGTCGGGAACTCTCGTGCGACGGGCTGAAAAAAAACAAGATATAAGATGATGTCTAAGAACGGGTCCTGAGAAACTTGTTGGGTCTGCGGGTCGAGAGCCAGCCTCTTCCGGTTAAGAGCTAGGCGGGCCGCGCGAAGCCCTAATTGGGGAGACAGGGCGCGGGCGGGCGGGGGCCTCAGGCGGCCGGAGGGTGCGGAGTACAGGCGGTGCCGAAGATCTTGCACAGGAAAAGGTACACCTTGGACAGGAGCCGGGGGCGAAGTCCAGGAGGGTGAGCGGTGTGGTGTTGCCGCGGGTCCTGAGAAACACGGGACCTCTGGGACTTCCCCCAGGACCAGCGTCCTCTGGGGCTTCCCCCAGGACCAGCCTGGGGGCCCGAGGAAGGCCCCAGGAAGCCGAAGATGGCGAAAACCTCGGGACCTCCCTGTCGCACCCACTGACGCGTCGGTGGCGCGGGCCAGGCGTTTCGTCGGAGACTGTTTCTCAGTTATGGTCCTGAAGCTTGAAATTTGCAGCAACAGTTTCACAGATGCAGGGCTGGGAGTTCTCAGGGTGGGGATCTCGCCTTAGCGCCTCGCACACTCGTCTGCAAAGTTTGCAATGGTTTCACGGATGAGGGCGGGCAGTTTTCAAAATGTGGTTCGCGCCTTTGCGCCGCGCACATCCGTCTTGAAAGGATGCAACAACTTCAAGGATGGAGGGCGGTTCCTTTTCAAAATGTGGCTTTCGCCGTAGCGCCTCGCAAACTCGTCTTGACAGTTTGCTACAGCTTCAAAGATTCGTATGATTGAAGTCCTCTGAATAGTGTTCTGGTGCGGTTCATGATTGTCAGGACGCGACAGTCACGTCGACTCGCGGCGCTGAAGTCTCCAGAACGGTGCTTTGGCACGATTGGAGATTCTCAGACGATTGTCTTCCATTCGGGCGCTTCCCGCAATGATAACAACTTCTTGTAGGGAACTATGGGGAACTTGGAAGGAGGGATTATTGCACCATCGTTGATGCGTCTTGGGTCCTCCTCCTCCTCCTCCTGCTCCTCCTTCTCCTACGTCTCCTACGTCTCCTCCTCCTCCCGTCTCGTCCTCTCCAAAGCGTTCCCGAAAGGGATTCCACGAAGGCTGGGGGAACAAATAGTCCAATAGCGTCGCCAGGCTTCCATGGCCGCACGGCATTTCCAACAGGCAGGGGGCTGTGTTGATTCGCCGTAGGCATCTTCGATACCTCAACAGACGCTGGAACAGCGACGTAGGGAACATGTCGGCCGAACGATAAGTTGGGGAGAATCCTGAACGGTCCCCCAAAACCCCAGCCACGCACCTGGCGTCACAGCGACGCGCGTCGCAGAAGCCAGCCAGCGGAGACGGACTCGAGGACCAGAGGAGACGGCGGCCAAGGCGAGAGCGACGACGGACGCGGCAGAGGGGCGAGGGGGAGGGCAGCGGCGGGCAGGAACAAAGGGGTCGGGCGAGGGCGGAGGCCAAGGGGCAGGAACAGAAGAGCCGATGGCGAAGAAGGGGCGCGGCGACGAGGGAAGGGGAAGGGACCCACGACAGACACTCACCGACGAATCCGCCGACCCTGTCGGCGTGTGCGAGGGGCTTCTCCGGTCGAGTTGTCGTCTCCGTCGTCTCCTCGTCGTCTTCGTCGTCGTCAGTCGTCTCCTCGCCGTATCCGTCGTCCCCCGTCCCTTTCCCTGGGCCCTCCTCAAGCGTGCCATCCAAAGCGAAATTGTATACAACGTCGTATTGGAGTCGAAGGGAAGCCCCTTCCCTTTGATCCCTTCCCCACGGGGGGGGGTCCCGGGGGGGGTGTCGGGGGGGGTCCCAGTGGGGGTTGTTACTCAGATTCGTTTTCCCCTGGGCGGCCCCGACATATCGAACAGCCCCAAAAAGAACCCAGAATGCCGAAGATGGCTCCCAAGATTGCCCACAAGAGAACCGTGTCGATCAAAGATCGGCCCAGCACGGCCAAGATGGCCCCAAGACGATCCAAGAAGCCTCCTAGACATCCCAGGAGCTCTCCAAGAACACCCCCACCAAGGCTCTAAGAGCCTCCTCCCCTCCTCCTCCTTTTCCTCCTCCTCCCCCCTCCTCCTCCCTCATCCACCTCCTGCACCCCCTCCTCATCCTCCTCCTCCTCCTCCTCCTCCTCCTCCTCCTCCTCCTCCTGCCACTCCTCCTCCTCCCCCTGCACCCCCCCCTCCCTTTCATCTTCGTCGTCTTCAGGGTCGGCGGCACCGGCCGTAAGGCCTTCGCAATAGAGAAGAGCCGATGGCGAAGCAGGGGCGCGGCCACAAGGGAAGGGGAAGGGACCCACGACAGACACTCACCGACACCTTGCCGGCGACGGCCCCACGACCGACACTCACTGACGGCCGCAGCGGCGGTGGTCGGAGAGGCGGCGCGCGCGCTGTCAACTCCAGGCAGCGCGGCCGCGGCCGGCGACAGGCTGGGCATCGCGCAAGACACTTTCCGACCCCAGCAGATGGAACCAGAGGACGGCGCTGCATCGCCGACGCAGCGGCGACGGGGGGATAGAGCAGAACGGGCTCCAGCCACGCCGCACCGCCGATGTATCGGCGACGATGCGCGCTCCTGCGACCACGCCCACCTCCGGCCACACTTTTGGGAGGCCCGGACTGCCGCTCCCGCGAGCTCTCGCCGTCCCGCCGCGGCTCCTACGCGGCGCGGCCCTCCTCCTCCTCCTCCTCTGGATACCGCGCCCTCAGCGCGGCCGCGGCCTCCACGCCGAGGGCCGCCTCGGCCAGCCCCGCCAGCGCCGGGGCGATGTGCTCGAGCCAGGCGGCGGAGCGGGCGCTGACCACGTCGAAGTGGTCGGCGTCCTCCAGTTGCACCACAGCGACAAGGTCGGGGGACTGGGACTTCGCCGCCGCCGCATACCTCGAGGCACAAGGCACTGCATGGACATAAACTGTGGGAGGTCCGCGCGGATGCCTCGGATCGGCGCTGGACTCCCTCCCTGGCGCGCGGAACGCGCCAGGGGCGGCACTGGAGGCGCCGCCAGGGGGACCCAGCGCAGATCCAAGACGTCCGCGCGGATCTCCGAAAGTTCACCTCCATGCGATGTGCCCGTCCTCGAATACCCCTCGATCGCGGCTGGGGGCACGTCGGCGTCCTGGCCCCCGAATGCCACGACGAGGGGGGACCTCACGGGCAGCAGCGCCGCCGGCGAGGCCCTCGCGTACTCCGCGAGGGCGGCCTCGCCGTCGGGGGCCCTCCCCATGTAGCGCTCCACGGCGTCTCCTTCGTCCGAGATCTTGAGCTCGTGGCCGAGCACCAGGTCCGCCACCTGGGGGGGCCTGTTTTCCACCACCACCACCACCACCATCATAAGTTGGAGCGGAAAGGGCTCCTCCTCCTCCTCCTCCTCCTCCTCCTCCTCCTCCTCCTCCTCCTCCTCCTCCTCCTCCTCCTCCTCCTCCTCCTCCTCCTCCTCCTCATCCATCACCCCTCCAACTTATGGTGGTGGTGATGGAAAACAGGCCCATCAGCCACCGGCGCCGCAGCCAGCGTCAGAGCGACCCGCAGGGCTCCTGGGTCCACCAGCTGGTGCGCGGCCCAGAGCGCCAGGCAGCCCCCGGCCGAGTGGCCCACGAGCACCACGCGGCCAGGGCGCAGCGCTCGCGCTGCCGCGAGGAAGGCGCCGTCGCCGCACTCGACCGCCGTGCTCCCGGCCTGAGGCTCACGGTGCAGCTCCTCCAGTTTCCGCAGCGCGGCCAGCACGTCTTCGTTCGTGCCTGGCCACCCGCCGCCTTCGTGGTCGCGCCGGCGATACTCGACCTCCACAGCGGAGAAACCCCTGGTGGGCGGCACGCACGAGGGGATGAGGCGAGGGGCATGGCAGGGGCGGTCAGCATCAAACCGATAAAAACCGGACCAGATCGGAACCAACAGGCATCGAGCGGGGCCGCATCGGCACGGAGCCAGAGTCGAATCGAATCGACCGTGCCAGGGTGTACAACAGCGCCATGCAACTATCGGGCCATATCGGACCTTCGGATAATTGCCGAATCGGATCGGATCGGGCCGGCCGACATCGACACCGAATCGGATCGATCGGATCGAAATGGATCCTCGGTGGCCGTCTAAGAAGGCAGCGGAGCTCTTTCTGTCTTCTAGGGGAAGCCTTCTCGGAGGCCTCCGATCATTCCCGAGGAGCCCGCTGCGAACTGCGAGCGGCGCCCTGCAGGGTTGCACCGCGAGTGTGCCGCGGGGAGGGCCGACGTGCCCAGATTCCTGCGAGGAACGTGCAAACAGTGCGGCAACACCATGATGAAGGAAATGTCGCAAGTTCCGCGTGCTCTAAAAGAACCCCCAGCTGATGGGCCTGTTTTCCACCACCACCACCACCATGAGTTGGAGGGGGAGGGGGTTATCCTCCTCCTCCGCCTCCTCCTCCTCCTCCTCCTCCAACTTATGGTGGTGGTGATAGAAAACAAGTCCATCAGCAGCCCCTGTGCGCGGCGCCAGCCTGCGGAGGAAGAACGGGGCCACGGACCAGCAGCCGGCGTTCCCATACTCGTCGTCCAGGCCGTACCTGTTCTTCCAGAAGCCTCCGTGGATCACGCACACCGTCCCGTGAGCCTCGCCCGCCGGCATGCACGCAGGAGCCTTGTGGAGCCTGAGGAAGCGGGAGCCCTCGGGCGCAGTGGTCCCGTCGGGGCCATACGGCACGTCCCACCACAGCCTGCTGGAGGCGGCCATGAGCCGCAGCACGAGCGTACCCACTCGCACGAAGCCAGGGCCGGGCCCGAGGCGAGTTGCTCGAGCCAGTACGACTACGCAGCCTTCCACCACAACCAAAAATCAAATCAAAATCGGTACATCGAACCCTGCTGAATATCACTGACTTCTAGAACCGCGACGACTCCTTTGCGATATGCAGGAAGGAATGAGCAGCCTGCCCCACTTCAAGAGAGAAAAGACGCCGAGGCAGACGCAAGAGACAGGCCTACCTTGGCGCCAAAAGAGACGCAGCGAGGGACTGTTTCAGGTCTCCGCTCAAGGGGGCCCGAGCCACAGCAAGAAACTTTACTGCAAGTGGTTTCTCGCCCTACCCTGCAAGTTACTTCAACTCGATACTTTTCGAACTCTCCATCTCTGTCTCTGGGAGAGCATGCCAGCGTGGGCTGTTTAGATGCAGAACGGGATCAATCACCATACGGACGCAGTAGTTGGGGCCTTGCGCACAGACTTAAAAGCGGAAATCTAAGCAACCGCGGACTGACGAGCGCATCAGCAAGCTCAAGGCAGCGACCTCTTCGGCACTCGTCCCTCGTTCGTCCCTAACACTCGCGGATTCTGTGAGTGGAAAGACTGGACGAGCATCGGTACTGCGAGGTATCAGGCCGAACCACTTGTAGCACGATTGAAGGCTGGCTTGCCACCCCACCGTCGGTTCGGGACAAGGTTGGCGACATCGAGCTCAGGTGGAAGCGGGTCCACAAGGTGAGTGTCCACGTGACCCCCCCCTACGCCACGGAGGTCGCGGTACTCTTCAAGTATGCATTGCAGGACCCTGTGAACAACTTTAACTTCAATACCAATGTGCTCTTCACCACTGTCCAATTGGAGCCTTCGGAATAGCGTCGATTCGAAGCTGGTGGCAAAGCGAGGGCCTTCTTGGACGTGAAGGCGAAGGCGAAGGACCCTACAGCCCAGGTGTTCCACTCTACCCCTCCAGAGTTTCATATCTTTGTGAAGGCAGCGACTGGGGAGGTGATCATGGGGACGGTGGACGAGAATGGGACGATGTCATGGGACGAGGCGGCGATCTGGAAGGACTTGCCTTGCAACGCCGGAACGATGAGTGCAGAGATGAGGGCCTTCTGGTCCGCATGAGCACCCTGTGGACTTGCCACGGGGAGGGTCACGACTGTGTCTTGGAACACTTGCAAAAAAGGGGTGAGCGCAGCAAAGAAGATCTGCAAGAAGTTTCGACAGTATGCAAAGGAGGACTCTGTTTCATTTGTAAAGGAAATTACTGCATGGTCGGTTCAGCACTGGTACATCTTTTCTGCCCATCGAATTTTGTCGGCAGAGCATTGTGACTGCGAACTTATCATTCGTGGACTTGGGATGCGGGCGCTTAGGATGACTGACTCTGGAGCCTTTTTGTCATGGTGCGGTAATTTCGAGGTACTCCGAATTCAATGTACATTTCAGCTTACATGTTAGATCATCTTGAAGAGGATGGGCGTGCTGCCCGGGTGTTTGAAAAGACGTCCAAGTTTGTACGACGAGGTCGCGATGCGTATTATGCGATGTCCTCTGCAATCTTGACAGGGCGTTAATGTCCAATTCCCGGCATTTGGGGGCTCCACTACTGGAGAGGCGGTGCTGGAACGGCGCAGGACACATACACAGACGAAGGTCACAGCTGTGGGCTCTTGGTTGGAGGCTTTGGGAATCTCGTTGCTGAATACGTTCTGGAAGCCTCAGGTGGTAGAGGAACAGGCCCATGCTACGAGACGACTCTGGACGCACAGAGGCGACTATAGGACGCACAAGTCGCAGATCGATTACATTGGCACCGCTCTTCCATACAGAGAAATACGTGGGTGGCGCGTCCCCGCCACAGGATATTCACAAGATCAGACCATCGGCCTTTGTGGGCAGATGTGTCGAACGCGTCCCCTGGCAACATCCATATGACTTTGCAACGATCGCTGAGAGGTTGGAACCCCGTTGATAAGCAAAACATGGATATGTTCGAGCAGTCTGCAGTGGGCTCTATAGGTTACGACCTGCCTGAACTCCAGTCTGCAGTAAAGGAGGCCAGGAACAAAATTCGATGTCACACGGTAGGACAACGGAATAGGCGAAAAGTCAATGCCATCAACAACACGGTCAAGATGGCGCGCAAATATGTTGCCACCGAGGTGCACACTGAAAGGCGAGAGCGCGTTCGAGAGCGACCGAAACTCGCTGGCAAGGCTAAGCGTCAACGGAGCGACGCCTGCAGCAGATTTCGAGGTCTGGCGGTCCTTCGATGCTCCAAGCGACGTAGAATATCAATGGGGCTCGCACCTGCGAGCCAGGACGCGTGGAAACAGGCTCTGCGGGAATTCGGCAACCATGAAGGAGCCCTGGGACACACAAATGAATATACACAAGTGACGGGATACCCCATGTGTTCCCATATCTTCTGGGTTTTTGTCTTCCCCCCACTTCCCATATTTTCCGGGGGATCGACGATGAATGGTGTCTGTGCTTTTTCCCCTCCTGAAACCAGAGGTTCAGTGAGGAGTGCAATACTGCAGCCACTCAGGAATACCGGCTTCGCTGTCTGTCGCGGGTGCGTCGTGACGACCGCATGGCTGGACGAGCGTATGCCAGGCATCAAGCCCTTTTGACCTGCTCACGGCCCGAGCAAAACTGCAGGACTTGAGCGTATTGTGTGTTTTGAATGAACATATGCTCTAAGTTTGCAGTTGCATATTGACAGATGTGTTCAAGGTGCTTCACTGAAAGATCATTAACTATTCAGTTCCCCTCCGATGGAATGTTCTCCAGCAAGGCACAAGTCTCAAAGAATGTGGAAGTCCCACGTCAATTCATCCCTACAACAGCGACATTGTGAAACTTGGAAATATTCGGGGAATGGCGGAAAATCATCCGAGATGTACAAGGCATTGCCGCTGATGTGCGTGTACCCGTGTTGGCAACCATTCCAATGTAGAATCAAGGACATACGCTCCGTCGACCCCCCCAGCTGGAAATTAATCGATGTTGCTGGGATTCCGAAAACCGCTACGCCACATTTATTGGAGACTTTCAGTGGTTTGGCAAATTGGATGTTGCCTTGAAGTGGCATGTGCAATCGTTTCAACCATCGGTCAAGAGGGCTCCCTGCCCACCTCAGTTGTTACGTATGTATTAAGAGCCACATATGCGTGTAGCGATGTGGTGTCGATCATTCGTCATTTCGTATTTCTAGCAAGGGGGTGGGGAATGTCCTTCATTTTAGGTTTTGTTGATATCGAGATGGCCTTCGATGCCATGCGCCACGAGAAGATGTCCGAGGCCATGATTGGGCGAGGCGTTCCTCATGACCTGGCAGCGGCTCTTCTTAGGGAGGTGTCAGGCATGCAATGCTCCATGGAGCTACCAGGCTCGGAACCTTGTGGCCGAATTGATCTGGAGAGAGGGGGGGGAAACCAAAATGGCCCAGGGACTCCTAGAGTGCTTAACCTGATGCTCGAGTGGGCCTTCGCTGACCTGCAGTCCAAATGGGCCGCTGAAGGTAAAGGATTCCGCTTGAACCTGGACGCCAGCCAGTGCATATCGCACTTGGTTGGCGTGGATACTATGTACGTACTAGCAGGCTTAGTTCAAGAGTTTGCGCGTATGGCTCAGGAGTTTACCGACACTATCTCGAACATGGGCTTCCGATTGAAGGCGTCCTCCCTCACATGCATGGCGTGCGGAACGATGCGCAGCGCGCTCTTGGAGGCGCCCGTTCCCTGACTCCAGATCCGCCCTACTTTGGCTTTTTTCCCAACTTAAAATTGCGTCGGAAATCCACCTATAAGGAGCCGAAAAAGTAGGGCGGAAATTTCTGCACCCAACATAAAATGGAGCGAAAATCCACAGAAGTAGGGCGGAAACAACAACAGAAAAGTAGGGCGGAAATTGGCATCATCGGGGCTTGAAAAGTAAGGCGGAAATTCCAAGCCCTACTTACGAATTTCCCCAAAGTAGGGCGGATCCGGAGTCAGGGTTGTGGAGGCAGTGGACCCGCAGGTTAACCGAATCCCACCAGCCCTCTGGGCGTAGGTGGTCTAACGGTATTAGTTCCTTCCTCGTCCAAAAACCCTCTTCCCCTTCAAGGAGGGGTTTACCCCTCCCCCTGCCCCCTCCCCTGGACTTGTTGGGGGGGTCCTCGCGGGTGGTCGGAGGGCCATGTTTCGGCCCCTGGAGGGGCCCAATTCTTGACACCCCTCACGAGGATCGTGGCCCCCAAAGGGGGGACCTCGATCGGGAGCGTCCCTCCTTTGATCAATAGCCTCGAAGATGGCCCAAAGAGGCGCTCCAGGGCTCCCAAGAGAGCCCCAAGAGAGCCCCAAGAGGGCTCCAAGAGGGTCCCAAGAGGGCCCCAAGACGGCCCCAAGAGGCCCCAAGCGGCCTCAGCGAGCCTAAGATGACCTCCAAGATGGCTCAGATAGCCCAAGCTGGCTCAAGATGGCTCCAAAAATGCTCCAAACGGCCCCAAGACCGCTCCAAGAGCGCCCAAGAGCGCTCCAAGAGAGTCCAAGAAGCGGTTTGCGGGCTCCTGAGGGGGGAGCTGAGTTGGGGACCCCCTCATCCTGCAATCGATGACCTCCAAGATGATCCCAAGAAGCCTTCCAGGGTGACCAAGAGGGTTCCAAGGGGGCCCCAAAAACTCCCAGAGAGCACCAGCAGCAGCAGCTGCCGCAAGAATACATGTAGATGGTTCCATAAGTCCTCGTCCGCGTCGTCCTCATCCTAGTCATCGTCCTCATCGCCCTCGTCCTCAACCACGTCCTCGTCCTCCTGTTCTTCCTCGTCCTCATCCTCCTCCTGCTCATCCTCCTCTTCCCCTCGCCCCCAAGCGGCCCTCAGGGATGGCCCGAAGAGGCCTTCCAAGGCCACCCCCTTGCTCCCAGAGACCTCTCGGTTCACCCTGGTTGCTCGCTTTGTTTCCCTAGATGTGTCTCTTTGTCCCTTTTCCCGTCAGCTCTCATGGGCAGGGCTTCTGAATAAGTTGGTGGGGATATTTTTTTCGTCGCAGCCGCAAGCCAAGGCGCATGCAGCGTCAGAGGTCAACCCGGGCTACGGGCGAAGCCTAATTGCCGAAGCTGCCGCCGAGGGAAGCTGGGGGGGCGCCGAGGGAAGCTGGGGATACTTTTTTTGATCGCAAGCGAAGCGGAAGAGCCGCACGCCGTCAGAAAACGGAAGCTGGGGATACTTTGTTTGGTCGCGGCCACAAGACAACGGTCAGATGGCGAAGGCAACGCCCGGGCCACGGGCGAGGCTAACTGGCTAAAACAGAAACGCGGCCGGCCACCTCAGGAAGCTGGGGATACGCGAAGCGCGAAGAATAGTTGATGCCATGGAGGTCTTGGGAGTCATGATTAGCCGTGAGGGGAGCACCACCACTAGCGTCGAGCACCTGTCGGGCAAGGCTGAGGGGAAGTATTGTAGCAACGCTGATACGTACAAGGGGAAGCGCTCCACTGCGTCAAAAATGCAAGCGCGGTCCACTGGTTCGAAGTTCGCACGCTGGACATTACCGCCGGTCTGCAGTACTCTGTGTGAAAATGTTCCCGTTCCGGACAGGAACACGTTGATGCTGTGGTGCCACCTCGTCCGTGGTCGGCCCCTCCTGCGGACTTTATCAGGTATCCACCGCATGACTATGGACGGCCAAGAATCCCAGTCTGAACTCGATTTCTGCACGGGACGCCACCTAGCCCTGTCGGCATTTAGGAGCCATAAACGTTGTCCCTTGCCGCCTGGAGGTTCTGTTTGCTGCGGCACCCTGCGTCTTCCCACGTATCACCATCCAGCTTGGTGTACCCCACAACCTCGCGCAACACCAGCAGGCGCGCAGAGCCAAGGCGACGACGGTGGTCGTCGGTCAGGCAGTCGGCGTGGCATCTGGCCCAAAACGTCATGGTGTGATTGCGACGATGAGAAATTTCGGATTCCGCCGCAATCCAGGAGAGGGGCCAGCTAAGTTCATGAACCGCACGGCTCGCCTGTTGGAGCGGTGGTTTCGCGTGGCTGGGACTCGCCACCTTCATCTCTGAGTGCTCCGGGATGTCTTCGAGGCGGCATGGCGGGAGCAACACCTCACCCCTCACGACGGTGCGAGCAACTCCCTGTCTACTGCAAGGCAGGCAAGGAGCCGATTATGGTGGGAGACAGCCAAGCACGTATGTAGCCAAAAACGTAGACGGAAGGACGGCATCGTTCAATTAGGGCATGGCCACCACGTTGAATGGGAAGACGTGTTAGCATCAGCCTACTGGGAGCAGTGGCGCGATAAACGCGACGCCTGTTCAACGATTGTTGAATAGATGTCCTTGTATACCAAATTTAAAAAAAAATGCGGTCACTATTTCAGAGCAGGCGCTGGCGACAGACCAGGAAAGCCGTGTACAGGTGAAACACCGGAGGGTGTCAACGTACCCTTTGTAGTTGTTGCCTATCTCACATAGAGATTGCGCCCCAGAAATACTATGGGATGGCGTGCCTGGGCGGCTTGCTTTTATTACAGATTGCCAGCCGTTGTCTGCAATAGTGAACGGCCTGACTGTTCTGACCAACGGCAGCCTCGAGCCAGTTCTGAGCCGAGTAACACACATGCTGTTGTTTGGCGGCCGCAGGACAAAATCGCAGACGATTTAGGAAACCACCATGGACGAGCGCAAGTCTTGGGCGAAAACGTTGCCAGATAGAGCCAAGCTGTCCTGTGCTGCGAACTTCTTCGTGCATTTTGACGACGGTACTTGCGCCAGGCAATGCTCCGCGGCCGCGTGGTGCATCGAAGCTGTTACTGCCTGTGGTCTGGCGATCGTTTGTAATTCAGGCTGGAACGGTCTATCTGACCCTGTTCCTTCAGCAAAAAACATCGCCATTGACGAGGCTGTTCAGGCGCTACCTCAAATACTGTCCTGTCGTGCGCGGCCGTTACCAGGTGACTAAGGCCACCTCACGAGTGACTCAGGCTCTGTGGTTAAACAAGCTTACCCCCGGACATGCCCTGCGGTGCGTTCTGGCCACAATTTCGCAACGGATCCAGCCGTCGCGCCAAGGATGTTCAGAAAAGACCGAAAACTATCAAAAAAAAACCTACGAATGTCATCTACACTCGATCCTCGAGGCTCCTGGAGGCCTGGACAAGATGAACGCAAGGCGACCATCGGCCTCTGCCCCTCTAGGCAAGAGAACAGCCAGAAGCATTGTAGCACGGGGTACTCTGAAAGACCTTACGGGTTGCACGCCCAGGCAAGGGGGGGGGGCAGATTGGTGGTACTCCTCGTCACTCGGCGGTTGCTCGTGAGGCAAAACCGAGCAACCACAAGTGGGGATCACGAAGTATGCCACAAGCTCGGAGCAAGGAGAGGAAGAGAGAAGGCAAGGAGGCAAGGTGGTGATGAGGAGGCAAGGGAACAGCAATGTAAAGTGAGGAGGGGGAGCAGAAAAGCCCCGTGGCCTTCCATCACTGGGCGAACAAGGCAAGGAAGAAAAGATTATGAAAAACGTGTAGGAGGAGAGATGCTGGGCAACGGAACCGTACATCTGCCTGGAAAAGTAATGAAGCCATTGCAGGCCGTGTCGAAAAATCGTCCTGGGAACTTCACTGGGGGTAGTTTTTCATTCTGGGTCCGTTTCTGCGGGTCAGCGGGCCCGAAAACGGCCTTTGCACGCCTAAAAGTTTTGAAAAAAACTAAGGCGACGAAAACAGACAAATCTACGATTCAAGGTGCGTTACTTTTCAGGGGCTGTGTAGGGCATAACTTTGTCAAGCTCCGCATCAACCTTGCCTGATGTCTGATGGCACGAAAGGTGCCCATGGCCCCCGTCGGCCGCGCCTTCGTCGACGAGGCTTCGCGTGGCACCCTCGAGGGGGCCAAGTGTGGCCTCTTCGGGAGCAGGAGGCACCTAGCAGGCTGGACCGACCACGGTACGAAATTTGTTGCTCGGCGGGAGCGGGGTCCAGCAAGCGGTCAGGCTACGATGGCACGCGTGCGAAGCGAATTGACGTACGGGCAGGGGAAGGCAGGAGGGAAAGCGGGAGAGGGCCGGGGGACGGCCACGGCACCCTCAGCGCCCTCACCCGAAGAACAGCAAGAAACACAAGAGTGACATTTTTGACGGCACGCGGCTACCCTCTCCACGATTTAAGAAAAGGCAGCGGTCCGTTGACGACAAAAGCGACGGTCACAGCCGGACCGGGCCTACGGCAGAAAGGGTAAAGTGAGACTTTGAACCGAGCGGAACCTCTCAGGGCCTAGCGGCTACGGTGCCACCCCGCCTCATCTTTTACCGCCGCCTTGTGGAGATGACGACCTTGGTGACCTCCTTCTTCGCCCGTCGCAACGTCCTGAGGCGATCGTTTGCCCTGGCAAGAAACTCCGAAAAACTAATTGTCACTTCTTGTCCATCCTGGCTCTTCTGCTTGTCTCCGAAGATTTGCTGAATCTCATCGTCGAGATTCTGACGTCCGTGGCGAACGTAGAGGATCTGCAGGGTATGCTCAACGCTTATCTTGCCAGTGAACTCCTTGTCGTACATCAGAAACTGTACCAAGTTGAAGAGGTTTCGAGGCTCGAGTCCTGTGTTGTCAGCCGTGCAGCGCTGGACGCGATATTTCGTGTCCGACCCTCTCTCTCTCTCTCCACCTGTGTCTATCTCTCGCTGTTCGGGCCAACGCTCAACCACCAAGAATGATTTCATTGAAAATCCACCCCATGGAGCCAGTCATAATTGTCACAACTGCTCAGGCTCCCGTGTGGTACCATCGAGAGTGCTAAACGATAACAGTCATGGAAGACACCGACATCAGAAGTATGACGCTCGGTACAAACGCTTTCAACCAAGCTCACACTAAACCTCTTCAAAGGAAATCTGAACCAAGACCAGGCTGCGTGCGCATGCGCAGCACGCAGACGGACTGGCACACGTACAGGCACACACACACACGCACACGCGCACACACACACATACACGCACACACACACACACACACACACACACACACACACACATACACACACTCATACACAACACACACACACACAAACACGTACACACAAGCACACACACACACACGCACACAAGCACAAACACACAAGCACACACACACACACACAAACACGCACGCACACAAGCGAGGTTCAAACGAGCGCACCTGATACATGGTAAGGAATTCGTCCCAACCAACCATATTGTCTAAATCGTCGTCGACCTCCCAAATCCAGAGTTCGATCTGCTCACGGGGCGTCTTGTGCTGCAGCTTTATTAACGCCTCATGAATGGACTGCCAAGTGAGCTTCTCGTCAGTCCTGGTCGCAAGATGCTTGAAGACTCGCTTCAACGACTCCAGCTCGACTGGCTGAACATTCTCCTTCGGACGGGCCGCACAAAGATGGAGCCCGATGATGGATGCTCGTAGGCCCACGCTACTCTGACTGAGTTCGCAGTGGATCTACCCAAACGTCCAGGACAATAGATTTCCACGAAACCTTGCCTCACCACCGAACAATTCTCTCACACATGCCCCCATGCTGGTACGGTTTCACTCAACATGGCTGCCACACCTCACAAGCAACAAGGCTGCCCCCGACGTTGTGGGACGGGCGACGTCAAACAGCACACAACGAACTGTGTTTCTACCAGCACCCCCCCCCCAAAGAAAAGCAGCGAGCCATGCCGACAACACATCCGATCCCACACGACGTCCTTGGAGGCCAGGTACTCCGAGTTCTCGAGCGTGGCCCCACGGTGATTGTTCTCCAGGGCGGTGCCGCGCCTGCGCGCTCGCTGCGCCACGTCCGGCCGTCCCCCGACTCCGCGCCTCCCCGCAGAGCGCTGGAACGACTGAGAACGGATGGAAACGTAGCGGGCGCAGCATCGGGGGGAAACCATGATACATCTCAAGCGGAACACCTCCAGGGGTACCTTCGAGAATCAGTCCGGACACCATCGGCATACCAGCAGGCCACCATTGATCATCACTCGACGCACGAAACAAACACGTACGGTACACCATGGAAAACCGATCGGGACACGATTGGGGCACCACCACAACACCGTGCCTGGACAGCATCAAGACTAGATCGGGAATGACCCCATCGGCATGAACACATTCCCCAAACAGTGATATAGAGGAGTCCAGACTGCTTGTGACATAACTGGCCCGCTCTTCTGGAGTTGCGCGAGGTGGCCGCCGGTGAGCGCCTCGGGGTCGCCCTCTGTGCGATGGCCGGCGTCTTCCACGTTGTCGCGCGGTGCCCTCCCGTGGGCGCCTCGCGCGCTTGCACCACACAGGGAGCGCCCGGTGGACTGCACCGCACAGCCCGCGCCATGCACAGTGCACCATTCATAGATGGCACAGCCCAAACTCTCCTGTCGAGATGGAAAAAACTCCACAACCTTCCCGCGCCCAGAACAAAACGCAGCACCGTGGTTTCGACCCCTCGATCGTCTGCCATGTGATACCATACCAGCACTGCCAAGCCGGGATCGACACCCACCCCCCGCCAAATGCTGCGAAAATGGGATGCTGCGGCGAACATGGGCTGATTTCAAACATGGAATTGCTGAGAATCCCATTTGCGGAAAATGCCGAAAAGGACATAAATCCATACATACATAAAAATATAGTCTGCGTGCGGAAAATTAGCCTGACGAAAGACCCAACCATACGTAGTTGTGAATACCGCAATTGTGGATATATTCTTCGGTGGCGCCCCCGGGCCACGAAACGAGTGAGGGGTGTGCCGAAATGGGGGGGTGGAACCGCATGCGAGCGCAGCCACTGGGGCGCTCGGTGGAGCTCCCTATGGAGCCACGAAACGTGTGAGGGGTGTGCCAGAATGCGGGGTGGAACCGCATGCGGGCGCAGCCACTGGGGCCTTCGGTGGAGCTCCCTATGGGGCCACGAAACGTGTGAGGGGTGTGCCAGAATGGGGGGTGGAACCGCATGCGGGCGCAGCCACTGGGGCCTTCGGTGGAGCTCCCTATGGGGCCACGAAACGTGTGAGGGGTGTGCCAGAATGGGGGGTGGAACCGCATGCGGGCGCAGCCACTGGGGCCTTCGGTGGAGCTCCCTATGGGGCCACGAAACGTGTGAGGGGTGTGCCAGAATGGGGGGTGGAACCGCATGCGGGCGCAGCCACTGGGGCCTTCGGTGGAGCTCCCTATGGGGCCACGAAACGTGTGAGGGGTGTGCCAGAATGGGGGGTGGAACCGCATGCGGGCGCAGCCACTGGGGCCTTCGGTGGAGCCACGAACGGTGGAGTGGGGCCACGAAACGTGTGAGGGGTGTGCCAGAATGGGGGGTGGAACCGCATGCGGGCGCAGCCACTGGGGCCTTCGGTGGAGCTCCCTATGGGGCCACGAAACGTGTGAGGGGTGTGCCAGAATGGGGGGTGGAACCGCATGCGGGCGCAGCCACTGGGGCCTTCGGTGGAGCTCCCTATGGGGCCACGAAACGTGTGAGGGGTGTGCCAGAATGGGGGGTGGAACCGCATGCGGGCGCAGCCACTGGGGCCTTCGGTGGAGCTCCCTATGGGGCCACGAAACGTGTGAGGGGTGTGCCAGAATGGGGGGTGGAACCGCATGCGGGCGCAGCCACTGGGGCCTTCGGTGGAGCTCCCTATGGGGCCACGAAACGTGTGAGGGGTGTGCCAGAATGGGGGTGGAACCGCATGCGGGCGCAGCCACTGGGGCCTTCGGTGGAGCTCCCTATGGGGCCACGAAACGTGTGAGGGGTGTGCCAGAATGGGGGGTGGAACCGCATGCGGGCGCAGCCACTGGGGCCTTCGGTGGAGCTCCCTATGGGGCCACGAAACGTGTGAGGGGTGTGCCAGAATGGGGGGTGGAACCGCATGCGGGCGCAGCCACTGGGGCCTTCGGTGGAGCTCCCTATGGGGCCACGAAACGTGTGAGGGGTGTGCCAGAATGGGGGGTGGAACCGCATGCGGGCGCAGCCACTGGGGCCTTCGGTGGAGCTCCCTATGGGGCCACGAAACGTGTGAGGGGTGTGCCAGAATGGGGGGTGGAACCGCATGCGGGCGCAGCCACTGGGGCCTTCGGTGGAGCTCCCTATGGGGCCACGAAACGTGTGAGGGGTGTGCCAGAATGGGGGGTGGAACCGCATGCGGGCGCAGCCACTGGGGCCTTCGGTGGAGCTCCCTATGGGGCCACGAAACGTGTGAGGGGTGTGCCAGAATGGGGGGTGGAACCGCATGCGGGCGCAGCCACTGGGGCCTTCGGTGGAGCTCCCTATGGGGCCACGAAACGTGTGAGGGGTGTGCCAGAATGGGGGGTGGAACCGCATGCGGGCGCAGCCACTGGGGCCTTCGGTGGAGCTCCCTATGGGGCCACGAAACGTGTGAGGGGTGTGCCAGAATGGGGGGTGGAACCGCATGCGGGCGCAGCCACTGGGGCCTTCGGTGGAGCTCCCTATGGGGCCACGAAACGTGTGAGGGGTGTGCCAGAAGGGAGGGGGAGGAGGGAGGAGGAAGGAGAGGAGGAGGAAGGAGGAAGGAGGAAGGAGGAAGGAGGAAGGAGGAAGGAACGCGGGGACCGTCTCTTCAAAACGAGGACCCAACAACACAGGTTGGTTGGGAAAAAAACACAACTGACAAACAAAAAAAACGGTCCAACCCAATGCAGACTCGCGTACCGCGTGCGTTGTGGGTACCGCTATCGGTGGAATTTCAACGAGTTCGCTACGCGTGAGGGGTGCCCTGTCGTGGGTGGCGCGGACGCGTGCTGCCGCGGCCACTGGAGTGAGTGTTCGGTGGGGCTCCGTACGGAGCCAAGACACGCTGTAGTGGGCAAGGGGGGGCGTATGCCGCCGAGGCCACTGGGGCATTCGGTGAACCTCCCCGGGGGGGCTACGAAACGCTGCACTGGGCTGAGCAGGCGCATGAGGCCGCGGTCACTGTGGCGTTCGGAGGAGCTCCCCAGGGGACCGAGAAGCGCTACTCTGGCTGGCGCGGACGCACGCAGCCTTGTCCAGCGAGGCGTTCCGTGGAGTTCCCCGTGGGGCCACGAAGGGCTGCACTGGGTGGCGCGGACGCATGCGGCCGCGGCCACTGGGCCCTTTGATGGAGCTCCATATGGGACCACGAAATGTTGCACTGAGGTGGCGCGGACGCATGAGGCCGCGGCCAATGAGAGTCATTGGGGCCTTCGGTGGAGCTCCTTGGGAACGATGCGCTGCAATGGGTGGCACGGACGCACGCGGCCACGGTCACCTGGGACTTCTCGGACGCATGCGGCCGCGGCCAGTGGGGCCTTCGGTGGAGCTCCCTATGGGGCCACCAAACGCTGTAGTGGATGGCACGGACGCGTGCGGCCGCGGCCACTGGGGCATTCGGTGGAGCTCCCCATGGGGCCACGAGGCGCTGCACGGAGTGGCGCGGACGCATGCGAACACGGCCAGTGGGGCCTTCGGTGGAGCTCCCTATGGGGAGCTCCAAACGCTGTGATGGCTGGCGCGGACGCATGCGGCCGCGGCCACCAAGGGTTTCGGTGAACTTCCCATGGGGCACGAAGCGAACGCGGCCGCGGCCTCTCGGAAGGTCAGTGGAACCCCGTATGGATCGACGAAACGCGTCAGAGGTATGCCGGATTGGGTGACATGCAGCGGACAAGGAGGCGGGAGGAGGGGGGGAAAGGAGGAATTGTGTGACGCAGGGCGCTGTCTTTTCGAAAAAAGGACCCTGCACCACATAATGGTTACAACACTCTATGTACACTAAGCCAGACGAAAGGCCCATCCATAAGCAGCTACGCTTACCGCGAAGGAGATGCGACCAAAGAGGGGGGCACGCAAACTCCGAACAACCTACGCGGTTTAGCCTCTGCTCTAATAGGCAGGGCCGGCAACAAAACGTGTGAGGGGTGCGCCGACATGAGTCGGGCGGACGCATGCGAACGTCGCCACTGGAGAATTCGGCGGAACTCCCAATGGGGCCTCGAAGCGCTGCACTGACTGGCGCGGCCGCTTGCGAGATTCGCCAATGTGGCCTTCGGTGGAGCTTCCTACGGGGCCACGAAATGCTGTACTGAGTATCGTTCAACCGATCCCCATCCCCAGCGGCGTGGCCTGGGCCCCACTGGCCGATATACCCCCCTAGATGGGGATATAGGCCGTTCCCTTCGGGTTTCGAGGGGTGTATCCCCAACTGGGGGGGAATATGGTGGGGGTCTCGACGGGGATGGGGATGCGGATGGGGTTCGGTTAAAAGATACTGATGTACTGGGCGGGGTGGACGCACGCGAACGTCGCCACGGTGGCCTTCGGTGGAGCTTCCTAATAGGTCAACAAATCGCTGTACTGGGTGGGGAGGACGCATACCAACGCTGCCATTAGGGCCTTCGGTGGGGTTCCTCATAGGGCCACGAAACGCTGTACTGGACAACGCGGACGCGCGCGAACGTCGCCACTGGAGCCTGCAATGGGGCTCCATATGTGGCCACGAAACGCTAATATGAGCCGGGCGGACGCATGCGAACGTCGCCACTGGGGCCTGCGGCGGAGCTCCCTTTGGAACACGAAACGCTGTTGGACTGGGCGGGGCGGACGCATGCGAACGTCGCCACTGTGGCCTTCGGTAGAGCTCCCTACGGGACCACAAAACGCTGTTGGACTGGGCGGGGCGGGCGCATGCGACCGTCGCCACTGTAGCCTTCGGTGGAACTGTGGAGCTCCTTATGGGGCCACGAAACGATGTGCACAGAAGCTCCGCGGGCCGCGGCCCGCGCGGGACCGCACTGGCCGCCGCGGAGACAGCAACAACCGCGGCGACCGCACCAGCGGCGCCCCAGCCGACCCGGAAAACGCCGCAGCAGCAGCACGGGCAGCCGACCGAGCGGCCGCCGCGGCGGGCTAGACAGCGGCGGCAGCCGCCGAGGCAGCGCCAGCACCCGTGCCGGCGGCAGCCACGCTGGCAGCCGCCCGAGCGGCCGCGCTGGCGGGCGAGCGGCAACAGGCAGCCGCAGGACACGCGCCGCCAGGCAGCTGGCCCTGGCGCGGGCCGAGCAGGCCGCCGCGACAGCAGCAGTCGCCGACGGCCAGCAGGGCACCCCCGCAGCCAGACCAGGAGAGCCCTCGCCAGCGGCGGCCGGGGCAGCAGCGAGCCGCGCGGCCGCCGCCCGCCGTTGCAGGCGCCGCACGGCCGTCCGCGGTAGCCCACCAGGAGACAGAGACATGGCGCGGGGGAGAGGGGCGCCGAGTGGAGAAAACCTCTCCCAGCGCCCCTCAGGCGGGCCGAAGTCCAGGGAAGACTCCGATCCCCAGGCCGCGCAGGCCAACCCCGAGCCAGAGCAGCGTGTGCCAGACTAAGTAAGGACCGCCAACGAACACCCGAGGACCACGAAGGCCACGAAGAGCCACGAGGGAGAACAAGTCAACGCCGAGTCGACTCGCGAGCCCCGCCCAACACTGGGGCCACGAAGGGCGCCTGGGGATACGAGCAGCCCAACTTGTTCATGAGCTCCACCCTGCTCGCGAGAACCACAGGGGCCGCGAAACCATCGGACACGAGCGAGCGAATGAACGAGCCCTACCTCG